TTTGCTTATTTTGGTCATATAATGATGTATTCTAAGTCAAATATGTAATTTTGGGTTAAAAGTCTGTAAAAAGTATACTTTTAAATACAACTTAAATTTAATACTTAAACACTCAATATTATTTAAATTTAGTTATTATCATAAAAAGGCAGTTAAATTTTGATTATTTTATTGTTTAAATTTATTGCGAATATATTCCATCATGAAAAGTTTCAATTTCAAAATATTTATACTACTTATTTTAATGAAGAATCGATTTATTCCATTGGTTTGCAACAAATTATTATTTATTTTTAGAATTTAAAAAGTAAAGTGTTACAGATAGCACCTTTTAAGGCCTCGTATGGCAGGAGATGTCGGACACTCACCTATTGGTTCCAAGATGGAGTTCATTTGATAGTTGGGCTCGAGATGCTTCAGAAAACTATGGAGAAAGTTGAGCTTATCTAGAGGAGATTGAAAACAACTCAGAGTCGTTAAATGTTATATGTTGATCAACGGCGGAGACCTCTGAAGTTTGAGGTGGATGATTATGTTTTCTTGAGAGTATCCCAAATTACGGGTGTTGGACGAGCCTTGAAAGCAAAGAAGCTGATACCAAAATTTATTAGACCATATCAGATATTGCATCGTAGGGGACCAGTAGCCTATGAGTTAGCTTTACCACCTCAGTTGACAAGGTTGCATAATGTCTTTCACGTGTCACAGTTGAGGAAGTACATTCTAGATCTCACTCACGTAATCGAACCTGATACTGTGCAGATACGAGATGACTTATTGGTTGAGCTTTCAGCTGTGCGTATTAAAGACACTAAAGTTAAAGAACCCAGAGGCAAGTCAATCCAACTAGTGAAAGTCATTTAGGATCCAGTTACTAGTGATGCAATGTGGGAGTCAGAGGATCGGATGAGAGACCAATACCCCTATCTTTTTTGTGATAAATGAATTTTTTAGGACAAAAATTTATTTTCAGGGAGAGAATTGTTAGATCGGTGTATTTTCATGTATGTATTATTTCTTTTAAATTGTGTTATGTATGTTTGAAATGTATGTATCATTTAGTGTATTAGGTATATAATAACCTAAGGATTGTAGTTGAGAACTTGTATTGCTTCATTCTAGGAAGAATTAGGAGTTCTAGGTGAGGGTGTCTCACTCAAGCAAGGAAATTCTCACTCAACCAAGACTGAGTTGTGCAGAATTAAACATCTAGGAGCATTCTCGCTTAAGCAAGATCAGATAGGACTGCCCCAACTGTCCTCTCGACCAGGTGAGAAGGGATCTTGTTCAAGCGAGAGGCAACCTTTTTAGGCAAGAGAAGCTCACTCAGGCAAAGAATCACAAGAAAAATGGGTAGCTCTTTGAACCTAAACTCGCTCAGACGAGACGTTCCTCGCTCAAGCGAGAGTAGCAAAAATCTGAGAGGTTCCACTATCTGGTTTGCTCGCCCAGGCGAGGGCAAGGCTCGCTCAAGTGAGAGTGCTTGGGCCTGAAAGGGTATTTAAGGAACCCTAGTGCAGAAAAATGTCATTTTTCACCAGATGGCCTCTTTCTCTCATTTTCTCTCTGTTCCTTCACTTTTTTCTCTTAGAGAAAACCTTCTCAAGAATGAACTTCTTCCCTATCCAAGTGGAACCCCTGTTTAGTTCGGATCTAGGTGAGCTCCTACAACCTCATTCTCCAACTCTTCGTCTTATTTCTTGGGTTTCTCTTCTCTAAAGTTTCTATTCCCTAATAGCGAGAAGATCTGAACCCTCAAGTGGTATTTCTTTCTTGGAACTCACGTGGAGTCCAATTTAAGGAAGCCTAGTTCCAAGTAAGGGGATCTTACCTAAACTAGCCTTATTTATTTACTAAACACTGAGATATTTACATGTATAATTTTATTTCAGCTAAGAATGAATTAGTGTATGAACAAACCTTAGGATAGGACCCAGTGTAAACACAGTTGAGTGGGTTGACCATTGTTGATGAATGTAACAATGCTTGATGTGTGTGTGATGGGATTTTCTGTTGTCTTGTGAAACTACTCACATTTGAAATGCTATAATGAAATGTGCCAAAATTAGTTGGTAAATGCTAATATTGGTCAAGTAAATACCTGAGTTACAATATAAGTGCTAAGACGAGCTGATAAATATTGTGAAATAATATATAGAAATGCTTATTATATGGTTGCGTTGTAATTGTATGAAATGTCGTTATATTGGGGCTAAGTCACATATTTAAAGGGGTGTAGGCATGTAACGATTCAAAAACATGTCGAGTTAAGTTGTGTTTTATCTATATCCAAGTACCAGAATGGGTCATTCCCAGACTGAAAGATTGTAGGTTCCTTCTAGTTTTACTAAGGCTATAATGCCAATTGGAGCTGAGTTGTTATTGTCTACATTAAGTAAGTTGATAATGGACTGTATTGCTGCGTTATGTGTTAAGAAATGTAGAAATAATAGGTTGTACAAATATTTATATTCACATTCTTATATATATATATGATCATGAATTTTATTTCATAAGCTCACCCTTACACTTTGTCTATGTTGGTGTGTTTGCATTTTGTAATGATCATTTTGGAGTACGTGAGGAAATGTGACAGGTGCTATAGCTACTTCTTAAGCTGAAAGGTATCAATAAATGTCAGAGTCAACATACTTTTTAGGAAAAACTTATAGCTTTAATTATTTTGTCAATCTAAGTTTTATTGATAGGTCTAGACTTTTTAGCTACAATTTTTAAGCAATGTAATTATTATTCAAAATTTTGTATTGAGCTCCATGTAAAGCAATTGTTGCAAATATCAGTGATCCTTTACAAAAATAGATCGTGACATAACATACACAATTCTAATAATATCATGATTGATCAAAGCATCATAATATCACACGCAATACTAATAATATCATGATTGATCAAAGCATCATGAAGCAACAAATTTACTATATCATAAAATTTACTATTTGATTCATTTAACTTTAAACTGTTAAATATACTTTTAAAATATTTAAATATTTTATTTAATATATTTAATTTTAAATTTACTAACTTTTGCTTGTTTAATTTTTATGTGAATATCTGAATTTTTTAATTTTTTTTATGCTTTATCTTCTTCTTTAAATGTATTAAAACTACAAATTGTTTATGTTTTGATTGTTTGTACTATAAATGAGAATATGTTTAGTTTTATTTTTATTAATTGATGTTGAGATAAACCTTTAAAATTCTTATAACAATAACAAGTGTTTTGTATTGAAAAAAATGTAAAATTTATTAAAAATTAATTTAGCAAAATAAATTTACAAATATTTAATAATATTTTAACAAAAATTTAAAATAAATTAAATTATAAATATTTTAATTTTAACAAGAAGGGTTATTAATATTTTAAAATAACAAAAATACAGTACATACATCATTTTAAAAGAAAGAAATATAATTTATCCTATATATATTACATATTTTCGTTTCGCTTTCAACGACGGCTGTGGATAAATTTACTGGGCAGTTATATATGTGTATAACGGTGAATCAAAATTTTATAATATATATGACGTTTTAAGTGAGAGGTGAAAGAAATTAATAATAGTTATTGATAAAAAAAATAGATAATTAAATAATAACATTAAATTTAAATTATTTATTTTGATTTAATAATCATTACTAATATTTATATATATATATATATATGCACTGAATATAATCTTCTAATACTAACGTTATAATTTATTATTTCACTAATAACTGTTAAATATAAATTAAATATAAAAAATTTTAAATTTAAACTACTACTAGCATGAGAAGATATTATATATAACGTAAATAACACTACCATACAGAAAAATTTCTTCAATACGCGTACAGATTTATGGGAGAAATCATCAAATAAGGTCTGCTGTATAGTCAACGATTGCGTAAGCTTCCTCAACCACAATAATAATAATAATAATAATAATATTTGAAGTTGGGATCTTTTTATTTGTTTTCACAGTTTTTTTTGTTTTTTTTTTTTTACTTTTCTCTGTTTGTATCTCCTTTTATTACTCTCTCTAACGTAAGAGAAAAAACTTCTATTATTAATCACATGATTGAATTACAGGAAATTTGAATGATGAGTGGCTTTAAACAAATAAAGGCACAAATTCCTCTTTATTAATTCATTCTACGAAAGTTAAATAACTAATGACAGACCATTTCTGTTTAAACGTGTTAACTAGTCTTGTGCACGTTGTATTCGTTTATTTAAAGCATGATTTATTCAAATACACTTTCAGAAACTTTGATTGAAATGGTATTACTTTAATTAGAAAAGTTCAGCTTAAGATGTTTTATCTCAATAAAACATATTCAGAAGTGGTTAGCATAATGAAACACGCAGGCTAATTTTATCTTTTAATTTCTTTCAAAATTTCAAAATTAAATTTTATTATTATTCAAATACTTTACTCAATTATTACTTTCTATATCAGAAACTACTGAGTTTATCTATAAAAATATTCTTCACATATTTATTTTGTATCATCTCAAAGAATCAATAATGTAAATCTAAATCAACAAGAGAATCAAAATTATACATTTGGTGCATATATGCAGACAAAATTTTCTCACATTAATATAAGTCTAAATATTTTTATATTTTTAAGTTAAATTAAAGACTTATACTAATGAAAAATAATTTATATATATATATATATATATATATATATATATATTAAAATAGTTTAACCATTAGCAAACGCGTCCATATATTCTTGTTTTGTCATCTCACTGGCTGGCTCTTACGCGAGATGATAATAACCAATAATACACGTGAGGCTTGATAAAATCTACGCCTAATTAGTTCGTTCTGAAAAGGGTTATACAGAGAGTAATTTATTATTTAAAAAAAAAGTAAAGTGCACGCGCAATTCGTTAGATTAATATAACCAGAAAAACAACTCAAGATCCAAGACATGAAAAAAAGCAGCTTTCACTATATATATGCCTGCTTGGGCAATGGTGTTACAATCTAAATATCACCTTGTTCCTCTACTCTACCCATATTCTTATATTCATATTCCTTTATTCACCAATAGCTGCTTCCATTGTACTGGTTAAGACCTTAATATCTGCTAAGGCTCTCTTGAGCAACAGTAACAGTAACAATGGGGTTGAAAGAACTCTTTGTTTGGTGCATGTTTTTGGGGTTGTTTGGGTTAACAGTGGGAGGAAGAGTGATAAACTACAAGTTTGATGTGGAATATATGATTAAGACACCTGATTGCTTGGAACACGTTGTGATGGGAATCAATGGTCAGTTTCCAGGCCCAACAATCAGAGCTCAAGTTGGTGACACCCTTGACATTGCCCTTACCAACAAGCTTTTCACTGAGGGAACTGTTATTCACTGGCATGGAATTAGACAGGTTTTCTTTTTCTCTTTTGTTTTAGCTCACTATGTGTAGAAATTAATGAGTGTTTCTATGGTTTTACTATGTCATATGGTAACCTTAATGTATTGTCTTATTGTTAATAATTTTTGTTGTTTTATGTTTCCAGTATGGAACTCCTTGGGCAGATGGAACTGCTGCCATCTCTCAGTGTGCTATAAATCCAGGAGAAACTTTTAATTACACGTTCAAAGTTGACAAGGTAATTACATTTTATTTATTTATTTATTTTGAAATGATATATACAACTTTAATTAACATTAATAACTAAAAGAGTTAAATGAAAAAAAAATGAATCATTTTTTTCTTAAAACTTAAACTTAAGTTTTTTTTTTCTCGAGTCTTTAAAAAGAAATTGAAAATCTGATTAATTTTAATGTACAAAAGAAATTCAATTTTTTTAATCTTTTTTATTATTCTTTTACAAATACTCACGTTAAATCACAATTAATTTAAATCTAGTTGACTAAATTTATTTTGGAAAATATAACTCAAACTTAAGATGTGATGAGTTCTTTTCACTTGGACCAGATAGCTTCTATAGAAATCTATATTGATTGACGCACCATGTCTCCTTTGGTGGTGGAGCTCATGTGACTAAATTTATGCTTTTGTTGTTTAATTGGAGAATGGATCTCTCTCAATGTTATATAATAATGAATGTTTATGGGTTATATTTGTGATACAGGCTGGTACATATTTCTATCATGGACACTATGGTATGCAAAGAGCAGCAGGGTTGTATGGGTCATTGATAGTAGATTTACCTAGAGGACAAAGAGAGCCATTTCACTATGATGGTGAGTTCAACCTCCTCCTTAGTGATCTGTGGCACAAAAGTTCACATGAACAAGAGGTTGGCCTCTCTTCAATGCCATTCAAATGGATTGGTGAAGCTCAGGTAATATAACTTGATTAAACTAAAATCTTTCTTTTCATTAACTTTGCTTTTTCTTTTTTTCAAATCTTATATTAAATGCAAGTTATCTACAAACAAGAGTAAGAAAAGCAGTGTTCCTTTTATCTCATATTATTATTTTTTTATAATGATGTTAGCTACACGTTTGTATTAAAAAATATTAAATATTAACCTTTTTTTATAGCAGAACTTGATTAACCAGTTATTATTACTACGTACTTTAGCTTTTTCTAGAAGATGAATTCAAATGATTTTTCTGACTGAGTAATAATTGCTTGAATTCATAAATAAAACACTCGTCACTATTATTCATTAAACCTTTATTCTATTTAATTTCTTTGTATCTTCTTTGTATTCATAGCGGATATATAATCCTATTTATTTATATGATGTGTACTTTATGTGCAATTATTATATTCCCCTATACATTGATCACCATCCATTCACGTACATACACACAAAAATAATAATAAAAAACATTACAACAAATGGACCAATTAAAACAACTCATATGTTTGCTTTCCAAGTAACTCCCACATGGGACATAGAAATATGTAAAAGATATAAAATTATTAAATTTCAGTATAAACATCCAAATTCCAAACTGAAAAATCATATGAATTCCGTAAAGTATGTTGGAAAAACGTGCACATATGGCCCATCTACCCAAAGTGGTGTTGGATTTTTTTATTAGGGCATCTTTGAATTCCCCCACTACTCCTTTGTTTATATTATTACTATTATTATTCCTCTGTCAACACCATATATCAAGTTTAAGGGTAGATTTATTTAGGTAATATAATTAAGTATTTAAATATATATATATATAAGAAAAGAGCTTACGACATAAATTACTTTCACATATTATTTTAGAACTCTTCTAAATGTCTTCAAATTTGCCTATAAATTAATTGATCAATTTTGATATATTTTTTTTAACCTTTATTTTGAAATATGGAATGCATTTTACCCTCTCTAGATCTCTCTCTGAATTAAAACAGTTCAATACAGCTAAATGATAACATTCCTCCATCTTAGTGTTGTCTGATTGTAATTTCCACCAAGACCTCCGTTGGAGAAACATGGTTTGTTCCTGATACAATTGTAAACAAATAATCTAATATATATTTTAAAATTAAATCATAATTAAATTTATAGTAAGATTTAGAATTAGTAACTTTTAAAGTCTGCCTTTCAGCCATAAATGTTATTACACCTTTGACATTTTTAATTGAATTTTACTGAAAAAAATGTTTGAAGAAAATGCATTATGTCTTATGGGATATTATCAAAAGGATTTTTTTTTTTCTATTTTATAATTAAAACTAAAATCCATTAGATCTCTAAAGCTCATTAAGATCAAGACTTGTATCAAGAATTAAAGAGCACTTACAACTTCAAGTCGGGATGGGATGACTATCTGAAACCTAATTTAATAGAGAATTTCTATTTATAATTATATATATATATATTATATATATATATATATATATATAATTTTCTTAAAATTAAATAAGACAATAAAAATTATTGTATTTTAGTACATGTTTAAATTTATATTTGAGGAGTCTTGGTGTGAATTCAAACACACTTTTACTAGCTTTTCAAACATAATCTTTTAAATTGAGTTTTAAAACATTCATGTGTTATAATTTTTAATGATTTTACTTTCAGACTAGCTTTTACAAAATATACAGCTGTAATCAAACTTTATCTTTCTATGTCAGTTTCTCTGATGTTTTATAAAGATGGATATAATAATGTGTTAAACTTTCAAATCATTAATTTGACAAAGAATCTCTAAGAACTAAAACCAATGAGTATGTTAATTAATCTTTTAAAAAGTAGATTTGAAGTATTATAAAAAGTGCAATATTTAGGTGCTTTACGCGGTAGAGAGGCTTTAATTAATTGAGAAAAGGTAGAAAGAAAAGTAATCTATACAGCTATTTAATCAACTATTTTTTTCATATTTCTCTGATGAACTTTTGGAATGTGTCCTTATCTTTCTCAAGTTCTGACCTTGCACGCATTTTTTCACTTTTCAGACACTGCTAATCAATGGAAGAGGACAATTCAATTGTTCCCTTGCTACTAAATTCATCAACACCACCCTACCCCAGTGCAATTTTAAAGGTGGTGAAGAATGTGCTCCTCAAATTCTTCATGTGGAGCCAAACAAGACCTACAGGATCAGAATTGCTAGTACCACTTCTTTAGCATCCCTCAACTTAGCCATTTCGGTGAGTTCTCATTGGCACTATCGAATCTTCCATTTCACTATCGCTCTTTTTTGTTCCTCTTTTTTTAACTTTTATGTCATTCTGTAAAGGTGTCATCACTTCTACGCGTATATGCATCTTAGTGACCATTAGCTGTGTGATAAGGTTAATTAGTCTAAGATTTTTTCTTGTTCTCATTTATCATTTAAGCAAAAAGCAAACCAATTAGAGGAACATTCATGTCTATTGTTAATTGTTTATTCCCTAAAGATATAATAATTTAGGTATTGGTAGGTGTTAAGGTAATAAAGACTTGACTAATTGGTCAAGAAAGTTGAATTAAAATATAAAGTGATTAAAGGAGGATGATTTCGTGGACCATCTTTCTTTTGATGTTTAGAATTTATTTTAAATATTTAAAATAATATATTTTTATTAAAAATATTTATTAATTACATTAAAACTCATTATGAATAATTATTTAAACCTAATTTCAAAGCCTGAAGTGTCCCTTCAAATATATATAAAAAATCTTCATGTAGATGTAGAAATCTTAGACTTTGTGGTGTAAATTCAATTAGACCGTTGTATGTGGGAACAGCGACAGCCTGGTTGAGGATTAAAAATATTAGAAATTTACTAAAGAAAATTCCTCATAATTTACACTCGTAGTTAATAAAAATATTAAACTTAATTAGTTTAATTTTAATTATTATAAGTATAAAAAGTTTATATAATTAAATAATTAGAATATATGACAGGTATGTTTATAATTAATAATTGTTATTAATACAATAATTTGTAATTGAAAAATAATATAAAAAATTATATTGTTAGCATATTTTAATTAAATTTAAAATTTGTTAAAACTGTATTTTTTTTATATAATCTATATTTTTTAATAAAATCATAATGCTTAAAATTAGTCCGAAACAATACGTCAATTTCTTGGTGAAAACAGTGCTGATTATTTAATCTTAAAATAATAGTGTATTTTCAAAATTAGAATGAATATGTATGTGCGTGGGACTCCCTGAGTTGTCGAGCACCGAGAGATACGGTGAAAAGAGACAGTGACTCTTATAATATCAAATATTAACTTTATTTTCTCTGAGAAGAGTAATAAATTGAAAAAATTAACGATTTATACATTATTAATTTAAAGTTGATTATATTTTTAAAATATTTAAATTTAAAATAATAATAATAATATTTTTATTTTACATATCTTTATATTTAAAAAACTTATCATTTTTGAGATTGCTCTCGATCTTGTTTGATATCTATAAAATTAAAATACTTAACATTAACAATCTCATGGAATGAATGTGAGAGTTTGCTGAATAAATTATTAAAATAAAGAAAGCAGATTTATGATTGAGATTCCAAGGGTTTAGGTAGGACATAAGCACGTCGTGAAAGACGGGAAAGGTCGTGGCTATCGATTTGACGAGCACATACCCATTCTATCATGACAATAGCAATGATTCTAGTGATATTCCTGTATTGGCATGTCATTTCTCTTTACAATTAAACTATTTATGATTTAAAATTCTAAAATTATATATATATATATATATATGGAAGTATTTTTTCACGTTAATGTAAATTTAAATATTTTTATAAAGTTTTTGTTTAATTTATATTTAAAAATTAATAAAATAATCAACAATAACTAATAAGATATAAGTTAAATAAAAAACTCATATCAAATGTAAAAAATTTTAAACTTATACTAATATAAAAAAGTTCTGCTCTTATATATTTAAGATATTTAGTATTAAACAAAATTAAAGTTTCAGTTAAATCTTTATTTTGTTCATAATTAAAATAAAATTTTAATTAAATAATAATTTTTGAAATATCTAGGATACCGAATCTAAATTTTATCCTTTCAATTTAATAATAATTGGCAAGAGCTTGGTAAAGTCCCTTCATTTACCCTATTTTTTGAGAACTATTTACATAAACTTTTTTGTTTTGATAATAAGTTTACTTACAGACAAAATAAATCAATTCAAGCAGAGAGTCTACAGTGAATCTATTGCTTTCATTTAATTGAAGCATGCATTTAATTTCATTATTTTGTTATAAAAATTCACTTGATTGATTATATATTATTATCATGAATGACAGAATAGATTCAATATTGGTATGCAACAATTAATCATATCCTGTAATTTGTGTGTGTGATGTAGAATCACAAGCTTCTTGTGGTGGAGGCTGATGGAAACTATGTGGAGCCATTCATGGTTGATGACATGGATATTTATTCTGGTGAGAGCTATTCAGTGCTCCTTCGCACGGATCAAGACCCAAGCAAAAATTATTGGCTTTCAATTGGAGTTAGAGGAAGAGCGCCCAACACCCCACAAGGCTTAACCATTCTAAATTACAAGACCATTTCAGCCTCAGTTTTTCCCACTTCACCACCACCCATCACACCCCTATGGAATGATTTTGAGCGTAGCAAAGCATTCACCAAAAAGATCATTGCCAAGAGGGGAACCCCACAACCTCCAAGACTCTCTAACCGTAAGATTTTGCTCCTCAACACACAAAACCAAGTCAATGGGTTCACCAAGTGGGCCATTAACAATGTTTCCTTGTCATTGCCAGCAACACCTTATTTGGGCTCCATCAAGTTTAAAATAAATAATGCCTTTGACCCAAAGCCCCCACCAGAAAACTTCCCACAAGAATATGACATCTTTAACCCACCAGTGAATGGTAATGCAACTATTGGTGATGGGGTGTACATGTTTCAACTTAATGATGTTGTTGATGTGATACTACAAAATGCAAACCAATTAAAAGGGAATGGTAGTGAGATTCACCCTTGGCATTTGCATGGGCATGACTTTTGGGTTTTGGGGTATGGAGAAGGAAAATTCAAGCCTGAGGATGAGAAGAAATTCAATTTGATTCATGCACCCTTAAGGAACACTGCAGTCATATTTCCATATGGTTGGACTGCCCTAAGGTTTAGGGCAGATAATCCTGGAGTTTGGGCCTTCCATTGCCACATTGAACCCCATTTGCATATGGGTATGGGTGTGATCTTTGCTGAGGGTGTTCACAAAGTGAGGAGAATTCCTAGAAGTGCTCTAAATTGTGGGCTTATACCGAGTACGCCTATAAACAATGGACACAACTAAAACTAGCCCCTACCTATTCTTAATTTGGTTAAGAGTAGCTTTCATTGTTGTATTTAATGTTGTGAGTTATGTTTTGTATTGTTTTCCCCAGCGAATTAAGCCTATTGTGTTGAGTCCCTCTTATAAGGTAGTCCTCTCTTGTAGAATTGAGTTTTGTTATCTCGTTTTTCTTGAGGGCTAAAGAAAGCTATGTATTTTTTATTGTAATTTTATGTAAGTTATGAATTTGTGAAAAGAAATATGTGGAATAGAATTGAGTCATTCTATCGGTAGGATTGTGTTACAATTTTCTACTTTTTCTTAAGGTTCATAGTAAGCCTTCTTAAGAGAAAGAAGAGAGGGGACAAAGAAATGGGAAAGGAGATGATTTTATTGTTTCCATAACTAGATTTAGCAAATGGACTATTTAATCCATTTGGACTAACTTGTTATTACGAGAGATAGAACTTTAGTGGGTTACACTAAAAGTATTTTAATTTAATTCAATCTCATAAATATGCAAAATGAGTAAATTTTTTTTTTTTTTTTTTGGCTTAACTCACGTTAGATTTGATTGGATTTTGTTAAAAAGATTTTAAAATAATTCAAGTTCAAAATTTAATACCACAATCCTATATTTTATCAAACTAGTTTAGACTGACTTAGTTAATGTAATCATTTTGTAAGTGTTACTCACAATTCATGTTATGAAACCTTAAATTTAACCGATTAAGATAACAATATATATATATATATATATATATATATATATATATATATATATATATATTTGCTCCTTTTTTATTATTTTTTTATTTTTATTTTTATCTTTATTTATCTTCTCAATTTTCATTCCATTCTTTTTTCTCTTTGTTCTTTTTTTCAATTTTTTTCTTCTCTCAACTCTTCTTTCTATCTTTCTTTTCTTTAATCTTTAATTTCAATTATGTTCTCTTTTCATTCTGGTTTCCCGAAATTTATTTTTCTATTCTCTCCTCTTTTCTATTTTTAATTTTTATTTTAATCTCCTTCTTCGTTCTACAATTTTTTTCTCTATTTTATGCTCACAAGACTAAAAAATAATAATTCTTTTTATATTTTATTCTTTATATGTAAAGCTAATATTAGTTTATGGGTTTGTTTGTCTCCAATATTTTATTTTTATTTTAGAGAGTCAAATATGATTTTGTCCCATTTTTAAGACTCTTTCTTATCATTCTTAAAATAGAATTATTTCTTTTCCTTTTTGGTATTTATAGTCATTTTTTAACATAGACAAAAGTAAGAATTTAATCACAAAAGTAAAAAAAAATAAAAAATCAACAGTAAAGGAGGAGGACTAGCTATCTCATAATTAAAAAAAAACATAATTGTGAACTTGCTAAAAGGGGTCATCAGAACTGTAAATGAGAAGATGTAACACCCTCAATTTTGTTGTTTTTGTATGGGAAAAATAGGAATTTAGATGTAGGATTTCTCGCTCAAGCAAAATAGAGTCTTCTAAAAGTAGGCTTTCTAGAGCATTTTTGCTCAAGCGAGATAGGATAAAGTTATCCTAACTGTCCTCTCGCCTAAGCTAGAAAGGGTCTCACTCAGGCGAGAAGTAGCTCCTCGAGGCGAATGAAGTTTGCTTAGGTGAGAAGTCACAGGAAAAACAAGAAGCTTTCTGGACCCATTCTCGCTTAGGCGAGAATACCTCTCACCCAAGTGATATTCTACTCGCTCAGGCGAGAATGTCTCACACATAGACGAGAATAGTGATCGCGAGTGTCGCGCTCAGACAAATTAATAAAAACTAAATTGCATAAAAATTATGTAGTAAGAGATGCAATCTGAATCGTCTCCCAATGATGATAATGTTATATGGTTATAAATTTAGAGGGAGTTTGATTTATAGAATAACACTAATTAGAATAAAAAGTTAACAAGAATTAAAGGCTCTAATCCAAGAATTTAGAAGAACTACGATCACTCTATCACTGGATTCCAAGAAGATACATCAACCAACAAATTAGTGATTAACATTAAATTCGAATAAAACCTCAATTTAAATTAAGCATTCACATGAGAACCCTCATACATTCGATTAACACACAATTCGCTCAAAGTTCATAAACCTCTAGAACCTAATCGATTTATGTTAATTTAATTCACCAATGTCATTAATCTTAGATCTCAAACCTGAAAATCTAATTCATACTCCTTCAAGAATTAATTACATACATCAACTGAATAATATGTAATCAAATAATTGCACAATTATCAATCCAAACGAAGAACTTCAATTCAAAATCATAATTAGCAAAAGGAGAAAGAAGGAAGAGATGAAACTGAATTTATTGTTGAATAAATTGTGAAACCGATCCTCAAGTGTGTCTCAGCCCTTTTTCAATCCTTGGACTAGAAGGAAGTCTAAGCCTCCATTAATGGAGGAAAACGAAAGGTAAAAATAAAAGAGACAAAGAAGAAAAACCAAAAACCCTAAAACATAAACCTAATCTAACCTAACGTCCCAACCAACCCTTTTACAGCCTGCTGCCCTAATTTAAATACAGGCTCTTAAGGCTTAAAATGTAAAATGTAATTAAAAATTATTCAATTACATTAATCCTCTACTCAATAGCTGTCTCTGGAATCCTTATTTGTTCAAGTTTCAATTTTGGAGGGAAAGTTATGCTTGTAATTGCTATGTTGAATTCGAGAAGATATTGTGTGACATTTTTGGCCATGAAGATCTATTTGATTTGATTTATAATATGAAGATAAATTGTAGCCCTGGATGTTAGCTTTAAAATGCAACTAGAATGGACTTAAACTGACATCTGTGGACTGAGATATGGCCCAAATACTGCACCAAGGTCAAAAACTGCGAGTGCAGCATTTCAACTTTTTCCAGGCCCAGTTTCAACTTATTATCATTAGAATTGGGTTCTCACCTATGCATAAGAATTGTGCGTCTTTCTCTTATCTTTCCTACAAATCAAGAATCACAATGAAATGAGTTCTACAACTCAAGATATGGTCCAGAAACCAAAATAGTATCAAAAATTTTCAAATACTGGAAAAATTAAATAAAGCCCAAATAAAATTCAAACATCATAAAATGATCTAATTCAAACCAATTAGGCACAAAAGAGGATTAATGAGCTAGGAATGAGAGAAAATAAGGTTATAAAAATCCAATTAATCAATGAGCTTAGGCGAGGATGATCTCACCCATGCAAAAGTTGGGCTCGCTCAAGCGAGAATGCACGAGTTTGGAGGGTATTTAAGGAACCTCAGCCCTAAAAACATTCATTTCTCATTAAACAACCTTCCCTCTCTATTCTCTCATCTTTTCCTCTCAAAGAAAACTCTCCCAAACCTTGAATCTCTTCAAGATCTGAGCTCAAACATCTATTCCATTCTGATTCAAGTAAGTTTTTGGTGTTCAAATCTCTAGTCTCATTTCTTTTCTTCAATTTTCTCTTTCTCAAAAGATGCCTACTTATTTAAGGAAAACTTTATCTTTTAGACAATATTCTCCATTAGGACGTTGTACCTCTCCCTTGGATTTCTAGGAAAACTTAGTCTAAGGAATCTATTTCCAAGTAAGGGGAGTTGATCCCGAACCCTAAGTCTTATTCATGTAATTTAACTTAGAAAAATCAAACTACTTGATTTGAAAAGGAAAAGTTATAAGCTTTTCATGAAATTATAGTGTTAAAAATGGATTTTTGGAGAGAAAACCCCATTTTGAACCCTAAGATTAGTATTTTTATTTTGAGTAATAGAATCCTAATGATTCTTAATATTTTACTATTATTGAGGTATGTGTAAGTAATATTGAATTATTATTCTACATGATATATGTATTAGAAGATACTGAACTTTAAGATAGGCGATTTTATTAAAACTTAGAAAATGTGTATATTAAGTTGTACGCTTACGTTCAGTCCGAAGGAGTCCAACCTTTGGCACATGGTATTAATTGTGTGGTGTGAAATTGTTTGATCATTTTGTGTTAGACTGATATGGATGTTTGCCTGATGGCTGATGTATGTCAAAGTGGGTGGATTTATGTTATTGATGAAAAGTGTGTGATTGTTCTTGAATGAAGAATGAGTGTAACATCCTTATTTTTATTTAAAACAATAATAGTAAAATTTCATAATTAAATAGAAAATGAGATAAATTTTTAGTTACTGGTCAAATATAACAGTAAAATTATCATATATTCTGTTCATTTTGCTCAATTGTACAAAACTTTGAATAATGAACAATAATGATTAAGCAGAATCTAAATAAGAAACATTAAAATACATGAACATACATTGTTCTCATAATAAACATTATATTAACATTTATAAATTACAAAACATATAAAGTCCTAATGAGCAGCCTATCCATCACGTGACCAAAAAGACACTAGTCATCCACGTGTCATCCTTCTATCATCGCTATATCGTCTGAGTTAAGGTCATCATCAGATCTGAGATATACGTCACCAGAGTCTGCAGTAACCTGGGTACTAGTAATTCTCTCAAACATCCAATAAGATGGCCTTCCAAGATAATCGTGGTCATGGTACGTGAATAGATACGTCAATGTTGCAGGGGTCCTCACGGTGCCAAGAAAGATATATATGCATAGAGTATGATGGACTCTACTTATAGGAAAATCAAAAGGAATATTAAAGGCTATTTCCATTTCCATCATAATAAGGTCATTAGATACATCACTTTCATACACAATAATCTTAAAGAAACAAAGTCTCTGATACTTATTCAATACATAATTTAACCTATAGATTACAGAACTATTTATAAGCCTAAGGCTCTCGGTGGGTGCTGTCATCCTGGTTCCCTGAAATGGTTATGTAAGGATGAGTCTCTATTTTCATTACTAAGCATACAATCACAAATAATTCAATGATACATATAAAGCAATCATGCAAACATCATATAACAAGATTATTAATATCCTAATTTATTCAACTTAAATTCATTATTATTAACATTACCATTTCTCAATTTCACTGCTCCTGAGATCCCTCGAGGTCTTCCTTAGCATAGATAGTCGCTGAATAGCCACAGCTACACAGATATAACGTGTGTCGACCCAACCTTTTTTAGCAAAAGCATGGTTAAGAGTTTAGTTAAGAAACTAGTGTGAGGCCTGTGGTGCTTTTACTCTCATTTATCTTGCACAATTCAAGAGGAGCATCCACCACCCTCATTTCTCCAAGACTTTTCAGTCTTCTCCATCTTCCATACTCTCAATGTACCTCTGAACTATCTATACACATCCTTATCATATCCTTTCCTTTCCTTTTCCATATTTCTATCTCATCTTTTTATATTTTTTCTTAGTTCATTATTATATCATATATTAGTCAATCATTGTCGAGAGTTAGTTCCCCCAGACTCAGTCCACCATATACATGCATATATTCAAAATGAAATTACACTCATCATCATAAAACATACTTCGTA